CTTGTGTAGCAGGATGATTGCATCAGAAGCTTTCGCTCTGGGCACGGAGCTGCGGGGTTTGGAGGAGGCTGATGAGATGCGATTGTCTCCGCGAAGAAACATCGGGGTGGCTCCGAGAAGGATTTGAAATGAGGTTAAAAACGAAGCGACACGAAGCTTCTCTCGCTTGTGTCAAAACAATCACATTTCCCCCTTTTCTTCCCTTTTCTTTCCCTTTCACTCTGATGACATTTGCTCATATTGGAGGCGGAGACACTGTAATCCTTGACGAATTTCACAGGGAGCGGGGCTCTGTTTGAAAGGCAGCTCTAAATTTGATCCCAAAAACCCACTTCTGGGTCCCGTGGAGAAGCGCCTGCCATGACTACGATATTCGGGAAGCCTTGAATATTGGCCATTAGTCCCGGAACGAAAGCTTCATTTCTCCATGTCAACAACATTCACGGTATAAACAGCATATGTGACATAATAAATACCATTTGGTTAGAAAAGATGTCTTTGAACTGTGGCTTAAAAAAACGAAAACAGGTGGGAAAAACACACACACCCCGGTATCACATGTTAAAAACCATATGTTAGTAAATGAATATTCCTCATCCTATTATTTAATCACCTCATGTATAATTACTGTTTCAAATGATTAAGTTTCAAAGTCTGGGAACGGCCCTGACTTTGGAAGGATGTAGCTCAGTGACCAGATAGGTTTACTCGTCATCTAAGAGAGGGGCAGCCACGGTGCCGCGGCTCCTGGCTTATGGAATGACACAGCAGAGTGTGCTGGGAGGAGGAAACAGTATCTCCGTGTGTATAAAGAGGAATCCTAACTAGGCCACTTGCCGAAAACTTTCCCCACCGTCTAGATAGAAGCAGGTTTGGAAACCTCTGCTCGCGTGTGAAGGCCATTGGGGGCGTCCTGCCCGCTTCGGAAGTTGAATCGACGTGGAAGGGAAGCCCGCCGTTCCTCTGCGATGCACAGACAGCCTAGAGCTCAGTACGAAGGACTGTAACACACAGTCCGATTCGCGCGCAAAAAAAAAAATGCTTGGCGATTCTAAAAGGTGATGTTCACGGCCACGGGTAGGTCACAAC